GCATTTGGGGTTGTCTTCTTTTATTTTGGTTCCATAGTCAGACCTTGATTATATTCTGGATGATGTATGTATCACTTGTATTTGTGTGAAGTGGCGATTGTAAGCCAACTCTTTATCCCTTTCTTATTCAGTACATGGGATGTGTGAAGATTACCCCTCTTGCGACAAACCTACCATGCGGCTATGCCTCTAAGTCGTGCTCCAACACGTGGGAGATATAGCCGCATCGTGGGTGTTACAGCTACCCCAAGGAATGAGGATGCCCGCCGCCGACGCTGCTGAGTTGGCCCCGAGGTGTTCCACGAAATGGGCGCAAGGTATGCTACGTCGATTTCTTCTGGTTGTTTCGCTTTTCGCCATTGCGCTTGTTCGTGACTTGTTGAGCGAGACTGTGGCGCTGGTTTGCATGATGCAACTGTTGAGTTTGTCCACTTGTTGGGCGACAACACCGTCGACATCGATGAAGCCCCGATCGGTGATTACGGTTACAATGAGATGGATGGTGGCGTGCATGGTCACAGTGTGGAAGAAGATGAAGTGGAGGAGGTTGAGGAGGGGTGTTCGACCAAGCGCAAGAAAAAGTGCGTGCAAGATTGAAGAACTACACGCAGTTGGAAGATCAAATCTTGATCAAGGCTTGGGAATCAGTGTCTCTTGATGCGTGCCCCGACACTGACCAAAACGCCAAGCGGTATTGGCAAAGGATAGAGGATCAGTTCTTCCACATGATGTCAAAGTATCCCAACAGGACACCACACACCTTTAGGTCACTCCAAGATCGTTGGGATGTGATCAAGCCGATTTGTAGCCGTTGGCCTACTTGCTTGGAGCAAGTCGGCACTGCACCTCCAAGTGATACTGTTGAATCCGATTATGTGAGTTTGTTTTCACGTACCAAGTTATGCAAATCATTTGTAGCCGTCAGAGTGGTTGACATTGTTTTCATTTTGTAGGAAAAAATTACGCAAGAAATGTACAAGGACATGAGCTTCCGGTGGCAAGTCATTTCAACTAGAGCATTGTTGGAAATTTCTTCAACATATCGAGAAGTGGAAGTTGATTGAAAAAGAATCCCCACAGAAGAGAGGTTCACTCACCAAGATGGATGATGATGATGAAGATGATAATGACCCAAGAAACAAGAACAAGCCCGATGGAAACAAGAAGACCAAGGACAAGATTAAGAGGAAAGCAAATGCATCAATTTTGTGGGACAAGATAGATGCCGTGGTGCAAGCAAATGAATTGATGGTGGCCAAGACATTGGAGGCAAAGAAGGAGTTGGTCGATAAGACATTGGAGGCAAAGAAAGAGTTGGCAGAGAAGACATTGGAGGCAAAGAAGGAGTTGGCCACCAGCAACCCCATCTCCAGCTCCCCCCCTTGCCGTCGCCGAAGGCCACCAACAGGCGAAGCCTGCGTCATGGCGGCAGCGGTGGGGCTTCTCCTCGTCTCCCGGTCGGCCTATTGCATGCGCCCCTCGCGGGTGTCAGTCTAGTGGCGTGTCTGTCGGTGGCCTGCCGGCCGACGGAGTGGCCCTTGGTGATCCGGGGCGGCTGTGCTCCCCTGGCCGCGCCCTCCCGTGACTCCCGCATGTCATCTCGCCCCTCCTCCCCCTCCGAGGGTTGCCTGGTGCGGCGCCTTTATCTATCCGACCCCACCCACCCTTCCTTCTCTCGACCTTTTCCTCTGACTGCACCGCCCTCCTCGGCGTCCCCTCGCTCCTCCTCCCTCTCCGAGGGTTGCTCGGTGCGACATGTCTTCTCTCTATCCAGCTCCACCCCCCCCTTCCCTCGGCCTCTGCCTGCACCGACCTCCCCGGTGAGGGCGGCTCCACCCGACCATCCAGATGCCACATCCCCATGTCGCGTGTGCCACTGCATCTTTCCGGAGGACATTTTCTCCTCTCTCGTTCAAGCCCGCAATTGGGTTCTAATCCATCATTTAGTATGATGCACGTCCGAATGCCACTTTCTGCATGTCTGTCCCTCGTTGCGAAGCCCCTTGTCTGTTCACACCGTCTGTTTTTTAGGCTTCTTGATGACAATGTAGGTAACTTGCGTATATGAACCGATACCAATCGGTCTAAAGAAGCAAGGTGCGACTATTAACATGAAATATACATGTTTAGCTTCCTGCCGCAATCATGTTTTCACCAGACGGGAGGTCTTGACTTTGATCACATAGGGTTAGCTATTTTTCTCGCATGACTTACTGGACGCTAAGAAAAGGCCCAACAATGGAACAAGGCGGCCCAATATGGGTGAGGCGCCGAACGGAACTTGGCTCTACAATTTAGTGCCACCTCGTGAATTTCACGTAATGTAGGATCAGATGCGGGATGAAATCAAGAATATCACCTTACTTTATTAATAGGTATAGATATAGATATAGATTAAAAGAATATAGATATATAGATTTACAAGTACTAAGTCATTACAATTTTGTACACATAAATCACATATTATTGGACTGTGGCTGGTCAAAATATCTTGCCCAATTAAGACCGGGCATGCAAATCCGAACAAAGGAGTATTTCCTAGCTTATGATCGCTTGCATGGAGAGGATTGTTCCCAAATACCGAAGGTGTGCATGTAAATGTCCCTCGTGGTGAACAAGCCATATATTGTCCCTATAACGGGAGGAGATGCAATGACACTCGAGAACATGAACTTCCAAGAAAGGCCATACTCGTCAAAGGCAGAAAGGACGACATCAAAATACACAGCAAGCACGATTGTGCACATCAAGAACTACAAAACAGAAGCAAAAAGAATTAAAGAAAAATGTCATGCAGAAGTTTTAATTCACAACCAATCCTTATCTTCAAATTCTCAACTGGATGGAGATAAAACAAATGCTAAGCAAGCAGCAGCTAGAGTGGGTACTTAAATCGTAAGCAAACAGCAGCAGGTAATTAAGTCGGTTCCTATCTGTTTTTTCTGAAAACAAAATTCGGTTCCTATCTTTATTTAGGAGCTCAAATCGGCAATTCGAAAACATAAAAAGAGTGAAAAGCAATCCGCAAGTTTCAGATCTTCATCAGAATAACGAACAAGCCCAAATTGAGGTTTATACATGCTTGCTGGTAAACACACACCCAGCACAATATTGCAGTGAAATATCTACGGTGTGTGACAACTTTAATACTAACTCAAATTGCTGTTTAATTCTGAAAGAGAAACTAATCAATCAGCTGTGTGTCTGGGACATGCGGAACATAAAGCTAGGCTACATATTTCGTGAAATCAATGGACCAAAAAAAAACAAGGGCAGCCAATCAACACCTTGGCGCATATGAACGAGAGGGATTCTTGGATCTTACAATGAGGAAGTTGGTCAGGAAGACCATTCGATAGCTGTAGTTCGGGTTACAGTTGACACGGCCCTCGTCCTTCCCCGTGTGGCCTTTCATCTCTCTACGCCGTCCGGCGCCGCCGATTCCTGCTCGTCGGCGGGAGGGTGGCAGGTGATAGCGAACAGCACGAAACAAAACCTAGCAGGGAGGAGAAAAGGAAGGATAAACCGCGGAGGACGGAGTTCCCGATATTTACGAGGAGAACAAAATCCCGAGGCTCCCGCTAACTAACTACTGCAACTGCTCAAAAAAAAAAAAAAAAACTGCTGCAACTTAGGCCGTCGCCATACCGCCCCGAGTCTGCCAGGACTATATCTCGCACGCCGCGGGAGGACCATTCGTCTCGAGTCTGGCCACATATGTTCCTGACGGAGTGGTTTTAGGAAGCCTCAATGACCGGTATAAGAAGCTTCCACGCGTTTTGTACTCTCTTTTCTCGTGTGCTTTCAGTGTCAGTTTTGATCATTCTTTTTTTTTCAGATTTTGGTGTTCTTGTTATTTTACTAGTTTTATTTAATTTTTGTTTTCTTTTATATTTTTCGTGTACACTTTCCATGTACAGATGTAACATGTTTTTGATACATGTTCAACATTTTTCAAATATAGGGTGGATATTTTTAAAATAAAATATTGTGTTTAATACATGTTAATCATTTTTGAATGATATGAAACATTTTTTAAATACATGAACATTTTTTTACATTGCATAAATATTTTAGTTAAAATGTCACAAACATATTTTTGAAATGCTTAAACGGTTTTTAAATGTCACATTTTTTTTTGCGGGGGATCACATGCATTTTATTAAATGGTAGGGAACCTTTTATTTTTGGAATTAGGTGCACTTTCTTTGGTATAATCTTTTCAAATACCACAAATAATTTTTAAATGGTTGAAAACATATTTTCAATTATATGGACATTTTCATACATTGTATAAATATTTCTTTCAAAATGTTCACAAACATTTCCTTGAAATGTGATAAACATTTTTTAAATGCCGTATTTTTTGAATGCTCGCAACGTGTTTTATAAAGTTGCAGTAAGCTTTTCTTAACACAACATAAACATTTTTAACGCACGATGAACAATTTTTAAATTTAAAAGTAATAAAATAGTTGTTAGTTGCAAGTATTTCGTTGCAAGGCTTCTTGCTGCATATGTTATGTTCTGAGTGATTTGCTATGGCCAATGGGGATTTACTGCACACACTAGTTAATTTTGGCTGCATGAGCATATTTGAAATGTTGTTTGTGTGTTTGTGCGTGTTTTTGGACAAAACGTTTAGTGAGATGTTGCAGGATTGGTTGTTCTAGAATTTGATTTTAAGTGGGCTGGCCGATTGCTCCCCCTCTTCTTTTATGTTGCCACGAGACCTTGTCAAAATATGAACCAAAAGCACGAATTCGCAATATAATACGGTGTAACAAACTAATTCAAGGTGTCGAATTATTCATAGATATATGCACATCAAACTAAGAACGAAAGAATCTAGACGCGTTTACAGGAATAATTTAAGCACGGCCACCCTCCCTAATGTACGGTTTCAAAATGACAAACACATGCTACCAGCGTCAAACAAAATATAATCTTTGGCACGGCAGCCGGCGGAAGCAAATCCCGTTGTGACGAACCGGGGCGGATCAGAAGTCCACGGCGCACCTCGTCCCCAGCATCGTCGGCACCGGCGCCGCGCTCGCGTTGGGCACCGGCAGGCGGAGCGTGCAGGTGATCTTGCTCTTGCGGCGCGCGTTGAAGACCCTGACCTTGAACCCGAGGTCGGCGTAGAGCCTCACCTTGACGTAGTAGAAGCCGTCGCCCCTCTCCCTCCGGTACGAGCGCAGCGCGCCGCGGTCGTCGACGGCCGACGAGCCGGCGAACGCGGCCGTGACGGTGCGCTCGCCCTTCCGCTCCAGGTAGAAGGGCTGGACGGGGTGGTACCCGAAGCGCTCGCCGTCGTAGGACGCCTGCGCCTCGGCGTACTCGTAGTGGATGCGGAAGCGGTTGGGGTTGCGGACGCGGACGTCCACGGTGAGGTTGTACTGGAGGACCCCCTCGCCGGCGCGGACTCCTTCGGCGAGGTCGAAGCGGGAGAGCGTGGCGGAGACGGCGGTGGCCCTGACGGCGCCCGGGCGCAGGATGAGCCAGAGCACGAGGACGGCGGCGCCCAGCGCGATGACGACCAGGGCGATGACCTTGAAGACGAAGCACAGGAGGCAGCCGGGGCCGCTCCGGCGCGGGGCGGGCGGAGGGGGAGGCTGGGGCGCGTAGTACGGCTGCTGCGGGGCCGGGTACGCGTAGTAGGGCGCCGCGTTCGCGGGCGGCGGCGGGGGCGGCGGCTGCTGCTTCTCGTAGGAGGCCATCTGCGCGTCCTGGACTACGATCTGGTCGTGAACTTGAAGGCGACGGATGTGTTGGTGAAATGGGTGGGTGACTGATGGCCCAACGATCGTGTTCGTGATGGTATTTATACGGCGTTCTTGACGCGTCCCGGCCGTTCTGGACGCGTTTGCTTTGTGCAGACTCGCCTCATTTTTTGGTGTTGAAATTTCGCGGGTTGCGACTTACGAACAACGGGATGGAGAGAGTCGATTTGATAGGGGAGGAAGGCCGTAGGGTACTTGCTGAGATCACCCGAAACTTCGCTGATCTTTACGGTTTGTGAGGATGATTTTGATTGGTCGCTCATTAGCTCCACTATGAATGTTTTCCATTGATAAAACCGATCTTTCTTCTCTCTTAAGAAAATGACTCAGTTATTTTAGTACTGGAGTACTATATTTGGTTGAGCGTCACGCGTACCAGAAGTTGACCGCAGATGTTTGCACTGGTAGTAGCGTACACATCGTTGCTGTGACGTCCTTTCGCACCTGCAGGATCATGCCAAATCTTGTGTGAAAAAAAAGGCCACAATAACAAATGGTGGCTTTTGTAAAGAGAATATTTTATTCCTCAAAAAAACATGTAAAGTTTTTAGGTTGGTCTTCTTCTAAATAAAGCTCTACTTAATATCTATATCTATATCTACATGGATACGAAAAGATTCAAAATGGTAGATCCAACTAACATCAGTCATCAATTCAGGTCAATCCAAACAACCTATATTGCTTCAAATGGTGTGCGCTCAACCTGTTTATCATGCAATTAATTACATAACAAATATTGAGGTCACCGCTAATCACATAATTAATGTGTAAATAATATCCTATCTAATATATGTGTGCAATTAATACCTGCCTAATATCAACATGCATTGCATGTACGCATTTACTAGTAAGTACTCTAGAAGTTTCCATTACGAATTGTTTTCTTCCTTCTCTCTCGTGCCCAAGGCAACATTAGCGGCGGTGACTGGTCTACATGCCTCATCTATGAGGCAGCATGCCCCCTCTCCCTCCCTTTGCCGCTCCGACAATGAGAGGGGGCATGGTCCCAAGGGCTTCAGTCCAATGGTGGTAGACTTGCAAATAAATTTAGATTTTGTCTCCGATCGACGGGGGTGAGATGTTCTCGTAACCGTCAGCGTGGAATAAGGTCTCTCTGACTCGCCCTTTGTTTCGGCAGTGACTTGTGGAGGATGGTGCATCCCGAGATATAGTTCTCCCGGTTTGACTTTTTCTTCCACGACTTTGTCTTGATGGCTGCCCTGCGGAGGGAACAACTTGGTCGTATGTCTTGGTCCCCCAGCTCCAGTTTTGACAGATGATGATTGGACAACCTCATTTGGGGAGCGTAGGAGATTTGGTTCCCTGACTCTGTCTGGCCGGACTTA